TTTTGTTTAAGAAAACTGAAATCAAGATCTTATGGCTTTTATACACACATATATGTATGAATATACATATATATGTATATATATATATTATTTTACTTTGTTATTATTAGACTTTAATTTTATGGCTGAGAGGGCACTTTTATTTCCTCTCAGGCACTTTTAAGCCATCACAGCAGATAAGTGAAAAAATATTTTAGTATTTTTTGGTATTTACCCCATGCTGGGCAGTGTTCTAAGCACCTGACATATATTAACTCATTTAACCCCAACATCCATCCAAAGAGACAGGTACTATTATTACCACCACACACCATATAAAGAAACTGAAGTACAAAGCTCAGTAACTTGCCCCTTAAGGAAGACGCCAGAGTTTATGCTCTCAACCATTATATTACCGCCTGCCTCTTTCCTTTTCCCCTTTCTAGAATTTCCAATTCCAAGGATTAATTTTCCCCCTCACTGTCTTTTACCTCATGTGGATTCCTCAGCTCCCAATTTGGGGTTCCTTTTCGGCCTGTTTTTCTTTCTCTGGCCTGATGAACCGCGCTTCAACTTCCCACCAGCCACTGCTGCTTTCTCACCTTCTTCCTTGGGGATCATCTCCAACTCTCAAACCATTTTTGAATTCTTAAGTCATATCACATCAGGACTAGAAGCTGATGCTACAATAATGGCTTGACCAGTTCTGAGTAAGATAATGTTAATAGATAATTAACTCATGGTTTCGACATATATCCTCTATTCCTGTTTAGAACATCCCTTTTTTTTTTTTTACTACATTTACAAAAACACATTCTTTTGCCTTAGTTCTTATTGTGATGCCATTTTTTTGGTATTTATGAATATGTCTCAGATGTCCCAAGACCTTTGCCTTTGGGCTGAAATCCACAAACACGGTCTCCTCTTTGTGGACATCATAGAGCATCTCTTCAGGTGATTTATGAATGTTTGTAACTGTGTATCCTAGGATCTTCTGGCTCTTGAGACACACGGCTGTTCATATGTTGAGTGTATAAATTCCCATTGAGCGTAAAGCTGTCAGAGACAGTTGTGTGATTCAGGATGACAAATGGGTGCTGTGGATCAGCTCTTGGCACGTTATCTTCCTGACTGCATTGCAGGCAAGAGGATAAAGAAAGAATGGAGCACCATCTCCCACCGCCCCACACCCAGTGCCCTCACCCCATCCCCCACACCCCCTCTCTGCCTGGTGTAATCTACTCCTCTCTTATTGAAGATGAAATCATACCCATGAGTTTTCTGCTTCCCAAGACAAAGATAATGATTACTGAGTCCCATACAGCATTGAGTTTGCAATAGTGAGCTTACAGTAATCGCTGCTGTATTTTAAACAAAGAAGAATTTCACAGGATTGAAATTTATGAATGCAGCTTCCCCCCTCTGTCCTTCCTCTTCCATGATATTTACTATAGAGAGTCTGAGGTGGCTGGGGATGGGTGGTGAGCAGTCTCCTCATATATGTGTTCTTGACTGAAATCCACAAACACGGTCTCCTCTTTGTGGACATCATAGAGCATCTCTTCAGGTGATTTATGAATGTTTGTAACTGTGTATCCTAGGATCTTCTGGCTCTTGAGACACACGGCTAAGATAAGTGTGGACTTATAATAGCACTGGGGGTGGTGTGGTGAATAGAATAGGAACTCGGATGGAGAAAAGGATTGGTGCAGGGGTTATTGTAATGACCAGAGGAGGGCTGAGGGTGAGGAGAAAGATGAGATTGGGGCAGGCATGCTATTAGAGATGACACCATACAAGTTTGGGTGGTGTGAACAGAGATGTTAGCAGAGGTGTGAGTAGAAGTAGGGGCTGTGGTAGTTGTAGATGGACCCCTGGGAACCGAAGGTTTATATGAGATAACAAGATGGGATGCGTGATATGGGGAGACGGTGGAAGGCCCAGGAGTGGATGGCCATGTTGGAGGTTGGACAGCAGTAGCTGGTAACTGGCAGCTGTGACAATGGGGAAAGGGTGGGAGGAGAGACAGGAAATTCCTTCAGGTTTGTTTTGTTTTTTAATTATGGGTGTTTCTAAGCTGACGTTGTTAGCCCCTAACAGACCTGACATCCTCAGGAGCCCCTGGACCCAGGAACCCCGGCTGCCCCTTCAGTTCCATTGGAGCAAGGTCTTGACTACTTTGCCGGTTGCTTTCTCTGAAAGGAGTGCACATGCTTGCTGAAATGGTCTGTAATAAGTCCAATTAGTGCACCAAAATTCCCTTTTCACTGGCCCATTATGTTCTTGTGACCTTCTACCCAGAAGGAACTTTGGCCAGGGGACTGGAGTTGAGGGGGTGTTTTCCTTCTAGCTGCAGAGCTTAGGTATTCCTGTGGCACCCCATTCTTGCCTCTGTCATGTTATATCATGGCAGCACTGTAATCCGTCTGTTTCCCTGTAAGTTTCCCCGACCTGACGGAAATGCTCCAAGACTATGAGCCTGCAGTTCAGGGCTTGGCTTTGGTTGTTATAAAATAGCACTGATCTTCGTTCTCCCTGCTTCATCCCAAACATCATACAAGAGGTACTGTTGGTATCAATCCAAGGAAACTCTTGTTAGTAGGATTCTAGAAATTGATGAGGGATTTAAATACAGATATGTCTGAACAAACACGATTTCTCAACAATGGACTTGCAGCCAAGCATTTTGGAGTGCAACTACCTTTAGTCTAATTTCATACCTCTGTGCCTTTCTCCCTGTGATGTGTTCCAGAAGTGCCTTTGACCTGGGCTGCTTTATCTTGCTCTTCCCTCTCAAAGCAGCCAAGAGATCACCTTCTCTGAGAAGCCTTCCCTCACCCTTCACCCCTCTCCCATCCAGAGCTCATCCCTGTCTTTCTCTGGGTTTAAATGTACTTTTATTGTGCCACATGTATTTAGCTCTAATTATTTACAAATTACCTAAAGGATCTTCTGGCTCTTGAGACACACGGCTAAGATAAGTGTGGACTTATAATAGCACTGGGGGTGGGGTGGTGAATAGAATAGGAACTTGGATGGAGAAAAGGATTGGCTCAGGGGTTATTGTAATGACCAGAGGAGGGCTGAGGGTGAGGAGAAAGATGAGATTGGGGCAGGCATGCTATCAGAGATAACATCATACAAGTTTGGGTGGTGTGAACAGAGATGTTAGCAGAGGTGTGAGTAGAAGTAGGGGCTGTGGTAGTTGTAGATGGACCCCTGTGAACTGAAGGTTTATATGAGATGACAAGACGGGATGCGTGGTATGGGGAGAAGGTGGAAGACCCAGGAGTGGATGGCCATGTTGGAGGTTGGACAGCAGTAGCTGGTAACTGGCAGCTGTGACAATGGGGAAAGGGAGGGAAGAGAGACAGGGAATTCCTTCAGTGGTAAGAGATTGTAGCAGGTGTGTGTGGGGGCGTTGCTGTGACCCTGGCAACTTTGGGCGGCCAGTTGTGTTGGACAGGTGTGTACGCTGTTCATGGTCGGTCAGCGATTAATGATTAAATTTTATCTGAGGTAGTTGTGGGGAGCTAGCTAGGCACTGGTAAAAGAACCAACTGTTAGGCTTGGCTTAGCTTGCCAGGGAATGAGATCATATGTGACCATAATGCTGAACAAACAGGAATCAAATGGCACATCCGAAATTTCATTTATCCTCTCCTTTCCCGTCATTGCCTGTTCAAACCACTCTGTGGGGTTGCATTTCAGTCCCCAGATGAAATCTCTGCCTGACTTAGTTTCTTCTTTGCTTCTCTCAGATTAAAAAAAAAAATCTTTCTTGTGTTATAATTGTGTAGTGTAATAAGTATTGCTACATCAGTAATCACATTACAATCTATAAATGTATCAAAGTAACACTGCTGTGTACCTAAAACTTAACCAGTGTGACGCATCGCATTTATTCAATAAAAATAAACCTTCAAGCACTTTTATCCATAGACACAGTCCAGGCTTAGTAAGTATCTGGTCTAGTCCAGTGTGACACCATATGTCATTCATGCAGAGGTAAACCTCTCCCTCTCTAGCAGCTCCTTTTTGCTGGAGTGTGAAGCCCGTATCGGGGAAGAGAGTTCTGATAAACGTCTTCTCCCTGGTTGTCCTCTAACACGTCTGCTCTTCCTCTCCTACTCACCAGGCAAACCCTGGTGAGTTTGCGGGAAAGGATGAGAGTGCAGGAAGGTCACAGCATGACATCGCTCTGCCATTTGATTCTTCTGGCCAAGGCAGCTGTAAGCCTGGCTTGTTCTTTTGTGGGCAATTCTGTAGGTTCTTTGGACTGTCCTTCCCTCCTTCATTTCTATGGCTCTTTCACCTATGTTTTCCCTGATGTGGGGATGTACACCTTCCTTCTCATTCCAGGGGTGTGCTGCTGAGGTTTTCTCACCTGCGCACAGCAACATTAATTCAAATTCAGATCACGTTGGCTTGGCAGTGCTTGTGGGATATGTAGGTAGAAACACCCTATAGGGTTTAGGAAATACTCAATCATTCCAGGGGTGTGCTGCTGAGGTTTTCTCACCTGCTCACAGCAACCTTAATTCAAATTCAGATCATGTTGGCTTGGCAGTGCTTATGGATATGTAGGTAGAAACACCCTATAGGGTTTAGGAAATACTCAAATGCTTAAGAGAGAGGCAGGGTTAGAAGTACACATGTGCGGTGAATGCTATGCAGATGGTGGTTGAAGTCATGAGAGTGGACATGGTTGCCCAGGAAGAGACATGGAACCTCACAGAGATGCTCATTTTAGAAGCAGGAGAAGGAAAAGGAGCTGGCAAAGGTGGCCACAGCCTCTTCCGGAGTACTGGTTCTATAAAGGGGCACACTGTACAGGGGTCAGCCCAGAATTATGTTGATTATTGTGTCTATTTTTTACCCCACATGTGGAAATTATACATACATACATTTTTATTTTCATGGTGAAAAGACCTTAAACTGTTTCCTGCTATCTTAAAAAATGATATTAATTTTACTTTAGAATTCTTTCTTTGAAAATAAAATTTAACTCTTTTTTTCCCCCAGTTGTGTATGAACACAGATCAAGATTAGAAAAATCCTTGCAAAAGGAAAGACTTGAACATAAGAAAGCAAAGGAGGGTAAGTAATAAAGCATCATGTACTTGCTTTACTATTTTTTTTGCTAAGAAATTGATTATTAACTCAAAGTCAGTTTTATAGGTAGACAGAGATGTCAAGCAATTTGCTGTGCCTTGTGCATTAAAATAATTTCTGCTCAAGACTGGATTTAGAATCTTTCAGTGTGTGCCACCTTGAGGTTATATATACCATTTCAGAAATAAACAGCTTTCCATTTGAATATTATACACATATGTTACTAATACCTGGAACTTTTATCTATAAACATCCAGAAAGTAACAGTATGCATTGTCCAGAACAGCGGTTCTCAACCTGTGGGTCGCGACCCCTTTGGGGGTCGAATGACCCTTTCACAGGGGTCGCCTAAGACCATCGGAAAACACATATATAATTACATATTGTTTTTGTGATTAGTCACTATGCTTTAATTATGTTCAATTTGTAACAATGAAAATACATCCTACATATCAGATATTTACATTACAATTCATAACAGTAGCAAAATTACAGTTATAAGTAGCAACGAAAATAATTTTATGGTTGGGGGTCACCACAACATGAGGAACTGTATTAAAGGGCCAGAAGGTTGAGAACCACTGGTCCGGAATATGACAAATTTTATATATACATATGCACACACACACACACACATATACACACGCAAATTTATAACATAATAAATTGATCACATTGTATGACATCTTTTAAGTTATGAACCTGTTTTTATCTTGTGAAGGCTTTAATTGGACAGCTAATTGGTTTATTTAGAAAAAAATAACATTTAGCACAGATATTAGGCAAATGCTATGATTTTTATCAGAATTTTGGTATAAAGCATAGGCTTTATACAGCTTGTGATTTAAAGTTACCTGCATTTTATGTTTATTCACGTTTTGTGATAAATCTTGAGATTTAAATTCGGTGTTCTGTATAATTAACTGGGTGGGTAGAAGGAGGGAGAACACCGGAGGGCAGTATTGATTAGGATGTTTTGCTGACCCTCGGATTAAATTAAGCCTGTGCAAAGAATAGGAGTTTAACAGCATTCAGATGCTTTGATCGGATTTGGATTTTTCTTGTCTTCAAATGCAGAGTGATTTTACAGGGCCATCTAGTGGATAATATGCTTTAGGAGCGTGAAGGATGGTATTCTCTTCAGGGCCTGAGTGATTTCAGTGCCATCTAGTGGGGAGCAATAAATCATCCCTGTCTTTAGGTGTGCTGCTTGTGTTTTTCCACTTTAATTTAAAGGCTGGTTAATTACAGAGTGTGCATTCTAAATGCACTTTTAATCAGTTGGTTGTAATGTAGATATTGTTGGTGCAAGATTTACGGCTTTAAGCTAAAGAGGAAAAATATATAATAGTTTTTCAACTTTTTCTAAAGTATGGAGAGGCAAAAGAAAGTATATATAACTCACCAAGTAGATTGTTTTAAACCTAGAACTTTTTTTTGTAAACCTGAGTAAAGTTCGCCTTTATTCTTTTAGATGTTTAAAATTTCACAAAGAATGAACTTGCTCTCTATTTCTTCCATTTTGTATTTTCTAGATTTTCTGGTTTATAAGTTAGAAGCACAAGAAACACTAAATAAAGGAAGGGTAAGTTGTCTTTTTAGTTTTTATTTCATGAAATTTAGGAGAGGAAATTGTTGCAAAAGCGTTTTCTCTGTTGATCATTAGTATTGTAGGGCTGAAATACATTTTTTTGTTGTTGGCCACCAAACATATTTAAGAGGGAGACTTTAAAAATTGTTCTTTTAAAACCTATCTTTGCTTATCGCAATATTTATGATAGCAATGCATTGGGAATAGCTTAATCTTCAATAATAAAAAACATTATTTTTATTCATTTATTTGTTCATTTGTTTCGAATCTTTCTTTCCTATAGAAAAGCGGTTCTCAACCTGTGCGTCGCAACCCCATTGGCGGTCGAATGACCCTTTCACAGGGGTCGCCTAAGACCATCCTGCATATCAGATATTTACATTACGATTAATAACAGTAGCAACATTACAGTTATGAAGTAGCAACGAAAATAATTTTATGGTTGGGGTCACAACATGAGGAACTGTATTAAAGGGCCAGAAGGTTGAGAACCACTGCTATAGAATGTAATATTTATTTTGGTTTGCGTTTGCACAGACATTACTGAGTAATGTCTAACACAGTACTGTGGTGCTCCTGTGTACCCACATGCTCTTCACTCTCAAAGCCAGACAGGAGATCACCACCTCCGAGAAGTCTTCCCTCACCTCTCCCATCCAGAGCTCATCCAAACACATTTGTCGAATGCATAAATGAATAAAAATGATATTGGCCTTAAAAAGTTTTCAAGTCTAAATTAACTGGAGGAAAACTAATCTTTCTCTTACTCTAAAAAAAAAAAGTAAGCTTTAGTTGAGTAAAACATTCGTGTTTTGAGGTCTTAAACTGAGAAGAGTCAGTTCGTTGGGTAGGTGGGAGGCTATTACTTGCTTTAAAAGCTCTGACCCAAACTGTGTGCATTCTGTTGTGCATTTTATAATGTAACTTAGAATAAAGTAGTGAAGCAATGAAATAAAAAGAGAAAGCAAAAATGCAGTTCATTTTAGAAGCTGTAAAAACTATGAACTGGGAAATGATTGAGAGCGTGTCCTTGTGCTGGCCATGCAGTAAGCCAGGAGTGTGGCGTGTGAGGTACGGCACAGCGCGGGAGAGAAAACCCTCAGATGTCTTGCGTACTGGCTGGTCATGGCTCCCAGGACGGTGGACCTGTGTGAGACCCGCCTGTGAAGGTGTCCCACAGGGATCCAGTGATCTGTTCCTGGAACATGGACCCACCTTAGGCTCAGGCTCAAGTTTCAGCCCTGGCTCTGCTCCTGAAGGAAATGTTGGCCTTGGTCTGCTCCTTAGCCTTTCTAATTCTCACTCTGCAATGGGGTCTCACCGGGATGTAGCAGAGGATGTAGAACTTCTTGCCCACTGAAGCTCAGGGGAGGAAAACAGCCTTTCTCTCCCCTCCGTGAGCCAAGCTAAGCTTGTGAGACCTGGTCCTTGTTGGTTCAGCCCCACCTGCCCTGGCACAATGTATGATTATCTGTCTCGGGACAAGCTCCTCTGTACACCTGGGCCTCTGCTCTTCCGAATGAGAGAGTGGAAGTCTTCTCCAAGCTGCTATTTTATGATTCATTGGGAATTTCCTCTTTGTCATGACTAAAACCTAGCAAACTTAAGGAGATGGCCTCAGAGACATCCTGGTTCAAGTATAAATTCATTTTAGCTTACACGAGCAAAATAAATGAAATTCTTCCATTAAGACTTTCAAGCTGTGTTTAGTAAAAGAGCCAGATTTTTAAAATCTTTGTGTTAACTATTTTCTTTCCAATTTACAGCAAGATTCCAATAGTAGATACAGTGCGTTGAATGTGCAGCATCAGATGTTGAAAGTGAGTAATTTAATGTTGTTCTTTGGGAATGAGGGAAAGGATTAAGTAACTTAAGTGATTAAGGACAGCTACAGAAAGTTGATTTCTATTATAATATGGTATATTAAAGTTATATTTGGCTCAAAATGATATGTAAGTATAATGCCCCATCATATTTTTACCTTTTTACAAAGAACATACTTAATTTATTATACATTTTCTTATAAATCAGACTCTCTGGTCAACTACTATTTTTGTTTTTCTCTTTATTCTTTAAGGATTTTTATTTGTTTAATTTTTATGGTGATTTCTCGTAGATATTTCCTTTATTTAAACACACTGCGGGCAGTAAACTATTCAAATGCTTCCTTTGTGCCACTAATACTTAAAAAGTCCTTTTACAGACCACTTTGAGAGAGAGAGAGAGAGAGAGAAACATCGATTGGCTGCCACCCATATGTACCCGGACCAGGGATTGAACCGCAAACTAGGTATGTGTCCTAACTGGGAGTTGAACCCACAGCCTTTTTGGTGTATGGGACTTTGCTCCAACAACTGAGCAACCCAGCCAGAACAGCAGGGCAAGTACTTTTTATTGAAACCAGAATCTTTTCTATTATCAAGAAAGCAGTACCTGAATTACAGCAGATAACCTTTCCAATGAAGGATCTGGAGACTGTAGAATTTATCTAGATTGTCATTATAGCATAGTATTATAATCAGGAGTAAGATAAGTAAGAATAATTCAGTGTACAATCAATTAATGCTTCCCCAAAAGGGAAGAATCTTTTTTTTCTCCCTTCTTTAAACTGGCTTACCAGGAAGGCTGAAAATCAAAGAAGGGAAATAAAAATATAGTTTTAGAAAAACAACAGATTGAAAGAGGAAGTCTAGACTATCCACAGAGGGTTAGTTTTTCCATTAGCTTTACCTTGTTTCCAGAGTAATTTGAGTGCCTGGGAATTTCCCCAGATCCCTCCCTTTTCCATCTCTCATGCTAACTTTTAACTTCTTATTGTTTCCATTGATGTTAAAAATTAGGAAGAATATTATTTTTGGCCATGATCCCAAACTCGTAATTTGAAATGTAAGGGAAACGGAGGTGAGCTGCACAAATTAAAAGCAACCTGAGGAACATGAAACCTCCTTCTTCATTTGTTCTCACTTTCTTGCAAGAGAAAGACTACGTTGTTGGGAAATAGACTCTGACTATAATTTAGATAATCTACATTTTTATTCAAAGTCTCATTTTTGCAGAGTCAGCATGAGGAGCTAAAGAAACAGCACAGCGACTTGGAAGAGGAACACCGCAAGCAGGGAGAAGACTTCAGTAGGACGTTTAATGACCATAAGCAGAAATACCTGCAGCTGCAGCAGGAGAAAGAGCAGGAACTTTCTAAGCTGAAAGGTATTTGGGAATCTGCTTCCAGTGGTTCTCAACCTTCTGGCCCTTTAAATACAGTTCCTCATGTTGTGACCCATCCATAAAATTATTTTCGTTGCTACTTCATAACTGTAATGTTGCTACTGTTATGAATCGTAATGTAAATGTCTGATATGCAGGATGGTCTTAGGCGACCCCTGTGAAAGGGTCATTCGACCGCCAAAGGGGTCGCGACCCACAGGTTGAGAACCGCTGGCTTAGCCCGTTCATATGGAAATAAGTGCTCATAGTAATGTTTCAATAGAACAACAGACTTTTGAATTATTTGTTGTTTGCATAGTGGTTGGTTTAGCTGTATTACATGGTCCTTTCCTAGCCACTTACTTCTTTATAACATTCCACATTTATCCTTATCTCTTTGGTTTGTTTAGGGAAGCAGAGAATAGTTAGTGTTTTTCAGTGGGCACATTGGCCAGATTGGGTAAGACAGTTCTTGCCTCTATGTGTTGGGTGTATGTGTTGCAAGACATTTGCCATCTCTGACCTCAACCCACAAACTGCCATCCATCCGTGCTCCCCAGGCCTTGCGATGATCAAAAATTGTGATGGTGAAGCATTTCTTAAAATCTTCAAGGGGAAGAAAGACTTCTGAGTGGTGGCTCATAGTGGCTTGCCATAGCTCAGGCTCTTATAGTCCGCCTGCCCTGGTGAGTCTTGGCCTCTTCAGTCACTAGCTGTGTGACCACGGGCCAGTTGTGAAATCACCACCAGCTTCATTGTCCTCATCTGTAAAACTAGGATGTTCATACACAGTATCAGCCTCGTAGGGCTGATGTGAGGATTAAATAACTTATGAAAAGCACCTAGAACAGCTGTTGGTCTGTGGTAAACCTTCAGTACATATAATTGCCATCAACATCAGCATCAGGTATTTTCGTAGTAATATGGAACAAAATGTGTCACTTCTCAAAGTGCCTGTGAGTTTTGGAAATGAGAAGTAGCACATGCTACAATTCCTATTCAGTGATTAATAAATCTTAAATAATATTAAATTTAAATAAACTATTTAAATAAGTTCAAAGTGTGAAAAATGGTTTAAAAAATACATGGTGTCTCCAAAAACAGTGGTGAAATCTGAGTAAGGTCTATAGTCTAGTTAATTGTACTTGTGCCAAACAACTTCCTGGTGTTTGGAGTAGTACACTACATTTATATACAGTGTGATCATTGAGAGAAGGTGGGTGATGGATACCTTGGACCTCTCTGTGTGTTTTTTTAAAAATATTTTTTATTTATTTCAGAGAGGAAGGGAGAGGGAAAGAGAGAGATAGAAACATCAATGATCAGAGAGAATCATTGATTGGCTGACTCCTGCACGCCCCACACTGGGGATCAAACCTACAACCCAGGCAGGTGCCCTGATGGGGAATTGAACCGTGACCTCCTGGTTCATAGGTCAATGCTCAACCACTGAGCTAAGCTGGCCGGGCAAACCTCTCTGTGTTTTGTGTTTTTTTATGCAACATTTTGTCTGTAAGTATTTCAAAATAATAAGTTTCAACAAAAAGGCTCATAGGAGGAATTAAGTAGCCACTGAGGCAAATTACAAAGGGTTAAGGTGGTCTTGATAGTTGGGCTGGGTGTCAGCAGATGATTCCCTCGAGGTGTAGACATGTAGGAGCTTTGGCTTGTTGGTGATGTGGCCAGTGGTGAGGGGTCATTAAGATAACAAAACAGCAATGCATCTATTTGACAGACCTGGAGCAGTTACTGTCTGTTGCTACGGTTACAGTGCAATGCAAGAAAAAAGGGTCCTCGCGCTTTCTGTCTGTCTGATTGTGGCAGCCAAGATTGAATGGGGGAATACAAAATAATAATGATGATAATAATAATCTATATATGTAAAAGGCTAATATGCAAAGTGTCCCCACGGGAGTTCAACCGGGAGACTGGGAGTTCTATCACTTGCTATAACATGCGCTGATGACCGGGGGACGGTGCGGAACGAAGGAAGGCCCTGCCTGGCAGCTGGCAGCAGGGGAAGGGAGGCCCCATCTGGGAGCTGGCAGCCGGGGAAAGAAGGCCCCGACAGGCAGCTGGAAGGCCCCAATCAGCCCTGATCACCGACCAGACCTAGGGACCTTACCCATGCACAAATTTCATGCACCGGGCCTCTAGTAAAAATAATAATAACCAAACAAAGGAAGAAAGACTGAGTACAGAAGCCCTCACAGAAATAGTGTAAAGCAATTATGTCAAACTCAAAGGCTAACGGCCAAATAAACAAGGTTTAAGTTTATGTGGGCCACAAAACACAAAAGCTTCAATCATAGAAACAACATAGGTTTATTTTGATTGAGACATGCTGAATACAAAGGGCTGAAATAAATAATTGTTAACATAAAATAATAGAACATTTTAATAAAAAATAATATTTTTTCTTGAAATTTAACTTACCAGACACTGAATAACTGCACAAATTAATAAGCATAATGCAAATATTTGCTGCTGGTATTAGTGGAGAGAAATGGTGCGCCTGAGTGTAAGGCACATAAGGGAAATGAATGCAACAGGATTATAGTAATCAGTCATTAGCAAACGTAGTTTGTTATTAATAATTATATATAACAGGATATTGTAAAAATTAAGTTATGAAATTTTTCTTAAAACATTTCTTACATACCATTGGCTGGGCCGCAAAAATATTTGTTGTGGGCCGCATGGTTGGACTCCCTGTCAGAAAGCACTTGCCCCGCCCTGGGAAGCCACACCTTTCAGTGTTGAGGGAAGAGACTTTGGCATAGTGGATACACTGAGCTAAGCTGAGTAAATATATTAAATTACACTGATAATAAATAAGTAGATTCTTTAAGGAAAAAGAAATAAAATTTCATAGGTGCCTGACCTGTGCTTGGCACACTTTACATAACTAGTTCATACAATTTTAGCAGTATCCCTAAAGGGCAGGTTTTCTTATGTCTACTCTGAATTTACCTCTTTCTTTGAAACAAAATCCATGTGTAGTACAGTTTTAACAAATTATATATAGAAGTAAGAAATAAGAACCATGGAAAATAGGCGGACACGTATGTGAGTTCTGCATACTAAGATAATTGGAGCCTGAACTTCCTGGCACCTAGGACAATAGGGGAAATATGGAAAGTTATAGAGGCTCTTGTTATTAGAAAGAGAGAATATCCTGATACCTTGGGGGTGGGGAGCAACAGAGACAAAATGAGAGTGAGAGCGAGAGCGAGAGAGAGGGAGAGAGAGAGAGAGAGAGAGAGAGAGAGAGAGAGGGAACAAATACTCTGCTACCAATTAACTTTTGGGAAAAATTTCTCAAAGAGACCTTAACCAACAGAGTGTGACAACACCCTGATGACACTTTTGTAAGTAATTTTCACACCAGCAGTTTTGTTTGATTATGATCTTTGATAAAGCCTGGGATAGTAAGTTAAAGGGATAGACGCAGCTCAGTAGTGGCAAACTAAGGTGTGTTGTCAAGTGGTCTTTGTAGTCTAGAGGAGAGAATTTGGAATTCCTGGGGAGATGAGCTGATAGCATATAAGCTTAGATAATTATTCTTTTCATTTGCATCAGCATAATAGCTGTCACTCAACAGATGTTTACCATGTGCGGGAACCAAGGTGAGACTCTTCATGCAGTTATCTTATTTAATTCTCATAACAACCTGTGAGGCAGGCGTCGTGTTGAGCCTAATTGAACAAATGAAGAAGTTGAGGCTGGCTAATACAGCAGAAGCATGGGCGCCCCTGCCATTGAGTTTATAGTCTGTAAGTGCTTTAAAAGCTAGCAAAGTGTGGGCACTTCAAGTGTGTGTGTTCCTATGTGTGTAGACTGAAGTCCCATCCAGCCAGGGACACGTTTATGGTCCCCTCGGATCACCAGTGGTGCTGTTTTGAACTTCGAGAAAATCCATTATTCCATGTAGATGGACAAACCAATTGGTCCCCTTGGATCACCAGTGGTGCTGTTTTGAATTTCGAGAAAATCCATTATTCCATGTAGATGGACAAACCAATCCCTGGCCACATTTTCCACCTTGTTGTCGATCTCTCCCCCAAACCAGTCACAAATCCAATGCCCCGGAGAAAGCAGGGACTTTTAATGAATGAAAATGGACAGAAAAGGTGTTGAGTGCTGGTGACTGGCACTTTCCTTCAGCGCCACGTGCCACATGGGAGAGTCAGGGCTGGTCTGCAGGGGGGTGGCTGCCACTGAGGGGCAGTTTGCTCAGCATAGTCCAGTTGGCGTCTGCTGTCCCAGTATCTCCTCTTGGAACATGAATTATATGGTCAGCCTGCCACTGCCCAGCTTTCACTGAGCATTGCACGTGAGAATCGGCCTAGTGTTGCTGGAGTCTTGATTTTGAAAATAGTGACAACTATTCAGATGTGGGAAATATATAAGCCAACATTGCAGCGGCAAAAAAATAATAGTCATTGTGGCTGCCAATTTATAACATCTAATGTCCAGATACAGGATGTGAGAGAATTGCCAAAGAGGTAAGAGCAGTAGGTCTAGAGTCTGTAAGTTGCTAAGGCTGTATCCTGAATATTAGGGCATAAGATTGGGGATGTTTTAGGACTTCACTATGATTGCTATTGTCTCACCCTGGAAAAACTTCCCTAGAACAGAGAATTTGGATCAGACAAGTACTCAATGGTAAGAGAACAAAAATGTGTTTAGAATTTTCAACAAGTAAGTGAGATTTATCTCTGTCTCTTATTTCTTGAGTTGCCTTTATGTTGAAATACCTTTTGGGGCGTTAGAAATGATTTATGCTCTGAGAAATAGGGTTTGTGCTTTTTGATAACTGTGTCCAAATTTCTAAAGAGACTCACGTCTTAGACCACCCCTGCCCATCACATTTTATTCCTAAGAGCTTGCTTATTAACAGAAATATTTCATTTTTAACTCCTGAATAATTAAAAATTCTTTACTTCTACAGTGTATAATCTGTTTACACGTATTTAAACTACTGAACCAGATTGTATTGGGATATCCAATTGAGTCCATGTCCTAACAGTATAATTTCTGTTGACTTGGAATATTATATTGTTAAAGTTCAAAATAAATCTTAAAACAAGTTATGTGAAGCTTTAGATATAAAAATATTAGAATCAAAAGCCTAAAAATTCTCAGGCTTTATGCGTGATTTTTCTTTTTCTAAAATAGAGACCGTGTACAATTTGAGAGAAGAGAATAGACAACTAAGGAAAGCACACCAAGACATACATACACAGCTTCAAGATGTCAAGGTAAACATCTAACCATGCGTTTGACAGTTTAGTGTCTGCCTGATTTACTTGTGGAATGATTTAAAAGTCATTCCATGATTGACCTGCTCTACGAATCCACACTGTTTAATTAGGGCTTTGCATAAACTGGAGTGTGCCCAATACTTTCACTACTTCTGCATCGTAAGCTAAAAAAAGATGGTCTGAAAATCCGAACATTTTCATCAGTACTGAAATGATTCTTTTGCTAGATGGTTGCATTTTAATACGCTTTTTTTTATCAACAAAGGTTTATTAATATTGAAAGATTTGTTCCTTCAGTTTTGATTTCCTTGTAAATGATTATGATATTTGGGTAGCACATTCTAGATTTTGGAATACTGCCTTAATCATAGTCGTTTCTTTACAGTGATTTTGAAACTTAACAAATGCCGCGACAACAAACAAAGAAACAAACAAATAGGCAAGCAAGCAATGTTTGGGTGGTCATCCCACTGTCAGCCAAAAAAGAATTTGCCTTAGAATGTTAAAACTCAACATGTAAAATTCTTTTTTGTGTAGCAACAGCATAAGAATTTACTCACCGAGCATGAACATCTTGTAGTGACTTTGGAAGACCACAAGAGTGCACTAGCGGCTGCACAGGTTAGAAGAGTAGCAGCCTCTCTCGGTTCTTTTTTTTTCAAGTCTGCTTAACATTTCCGAATTCCTCTGTGCATGGAGTCTCCTAAAAGCCAATCTTCAGCGAGTTCCTTAGGACCAAGCTATCCTAACCCTGAAGATCATGCATGCTTTCAAAATTCAATCAAGAGAATATGAAATAAACCTTTGACTATTTTTTGCACTGACTTTGTAGCTCACATGGCTGTTTCTACCCTGCGTCAGCCCTTCCATTCTCACTGTTTAAATCATAGAAGTTATTCCGTACATATGGTCTCTTGCCACTGTCTGACCTGTGTTGACTCCTGCTTTAGAATTTATAGGATTTTGAGAATATGAGCTGCCTAAATAAATTATTGTCAGACTATTTCATTCCTCCCTTCCTTGCTGCCAGCAGATCAGTCTACACACACTCCTTTTGGGACTAGGCTGATGTGTTGTTGGTGAAATGACAGAAGTAAGAGATCTCATGTCAATAGAGAAGGAAAAACAAGAGTTGTAAGTTGCATTTGTTCAGAGCCTAGAGCAGTCCCCGGCACACAGCAGACCCTCTCAGATGTTACTGAATGAACAAATAGGCAAGCACTGGTGCTGGACAGCTTATTAAGGCAATGCCATACGGAGCGGTTCACTAGCAGAAGTGAAGAAGGGGTTTGGCTGCTCAGTCATTATGGCTTTTCAATCATGAGGTCTTCACTTTTCTTTTCCTGGAAGAATTAAGAGGAAAGGGCAAAGGAAAACCAACCCCCTCCACTTACTAGGAGACCATATATTATTTTTTCCCTTTATAAAATTATTACAAGTATAGTATGGTGTGTCCCGGAGCCTGCACTTTTAACCTGACCCTCCCATGAACCCTAATGCACATTAATGTTTGAGAACCACAGCATTAGTGCCATCAAAAATTATATATTTAGGAGGAAGAGAAGGAAGAAAGGCTAGAATGAAGGTTTGTGTATTCCTCCATATTTACCTTAAAATATTAAAAGTATCTCTATGTGGATGTCGCTTGTTTTGTTCTTTGACCTTCAAAGTTGGTTGGCCCTTCAAAAGGGTTGTGGTAGATTTCTGGGCTGAGGGCCCCTGTTAGCCGAATGGCACACCTTTGTACAAATGACAAAGAAGCACTCCGGTGAGACAGACTTAGGAGGCAGACCTCTTCACCTCATTTTATTTTATTTGTATTTTCCCCATCACCATTTGCCCCTCTGTGCTCCCCCTGCCTTTGTGTGAATTAGAGAGAGGCAGAAAGGTGCCTCCTCCCTGGGGTGGGAAGCACCATGCAGATGCTATTTGTATTTTCCCCATCACCATTTGCCCCTCTGTGCCCCCGCCCCCTTTGTGTGAATTAGAGAGAGGCAGAAAGGCGCCTCCTCCCTGGGTGGGAAGCACCATGCAGATGTTTTGGCAACAGGAGCACCAGCGGGTTCTCGTCTCCAGCGCCCACTCTGCTGTGCACCCTGAGCGAGTCGGCCCCGTCGGGGAGGCTTGTTCAGAAAAAGATCAGTTAAGTGGAGGGCAGTCGGGAGGTACTCTAGTTGCTAAAATGTCAAGGATTTATCTGACCCATTTCATGACCCTGTAGACGGGTGGTTTGAATAATACTCTTAGGGAGCAGTTGTAGAATGAACACATCCTCCAGGTTGAGGCTGTAGAGAAACGTAGAGATTGAAAAAAAGAAACACACCACAAAACTGTGCCTGGCAGCTGGGGGGCCTGCAGAGATTCCAGAAGTTCGGCAAATCTAGGAGAGCTTGGGGGTGAGTAGAGATGGGGCTCCCCTGGCTGTCCCCGGACGTCTGGCTTAGCAGTTTCAGCGCATCAGAGGTGGGGTGAGGGTTTTCTGGTCCAGTTCCACTCTGGACCCCACTTCTTGTTCTGTGTGTGGTGGATTCGGGACAGTGGGGCTCAGCGGGTGAGGTTGAGGGGACCGAAGCTTCCCCAGCAGAACCCCCTGCCCATGATGTGGTCTGCCCCAGGCTCGAGAGCTGTCATGCCTGGATATCCGCTTGGAGAGCACGGGGAGCACAGCCAAGGACTCAGGTGAGACCCGCTCAGAACCAGGTCTGACCTCTGCTTGGAATGTGGGGAGTAGATGGGGTGGCTGGGAAACCCATACAGGGCAGGGGGTGAGCGGCAGGGCAGAGCCTGCCTCTTCTTGCCCACAGAGCAGAAGGGCAACAGGTCTCGTCTGGGCAGGAGGGTCCCCCTGACCTGGAGGAGGGCATGTCACAAGAGGTGGGCGTTCCATGGGGGATGGGGCCCAGCAGGCTGGGGAGGCCCTTTCCAGCATCCTGTTTGCCATGGTCTAGCCACAGGGCCTTCATCACGTCCAGGCAGTACTGCCGGTATTTTGGGTCCATCCCCCTCATGTTACCCTTCTCGCTCTCTCCCTAGACCAGGACAACCTGGAGCTGGAGCTGGTGCTGACGGGGTCATATGAAGACACGCAGACATCGGCCCTGGGCACAGCCTCAGCCTTCCGCTTTCACTACATGGCAGCTCAAGAGGCAGAGCTGAGAGGGCGCCTGAGGGTGGGTCTTTGGGTCTGAACTCAGGAGATTTTTCACCAACCTGGGCCCTGGGCTAGCTCCAGCTGCTCAGGCCCCTCCCTGGCCTGCCTCCTGCCACGGCCAGTCCCCTGTGGCTGTGTCAGCCTCCCCCAGTTAGGCACATGCCCTTGGCAGGCAGGAGGGTCACCAGCGCCTGGAGTGGGTGTGGGGAGGGGCTGTTACGCTATGTCTGTCTGAGCCCTTAAATGGCTCCTCCAGTGATGCTCTCAGAAAAAAATCTGATGTCGGTGCCCACAGGCCCTGCACAGCCTGGCCCCTGCCCACCTCTGCTGCCTCATTTGACCCACGTTCCCCTCATTCATGATGCTCCAGCCATAGCTTGTCTCTTCTTGCTTTTCAGACATGCCAGCGCTTTTCCTGTCCCCCTTTGTCTCCTTCCAAGGCTGCTTCCTCCTCCTCCTTTTTCTCCTCCTCCTCCTCCTCCTCCTCATTTCAGAAAGGAAGAGAGAGGGACAGAAAGATAGAAACATCAATGATGACAGAGAATCATTGATTGGCTGCCTCCTGCATGCACCACACTGGGGATCTAACCCACAACCCGGGCACGTGCCCTGACCAGGAATCGAACCCGACCTCCTGGTTCATAGGTCAATGCTCAACCACTGAGCCACACTGAGGAATTGCTGGGCTGGGAGCAAACTTTGAGAACGACTGCAGTGCTTTCTGGGAAAGACACAGTGGCTCTGCCTTTCTTCATGTGGGTTTATTTGTTTGAAAGGAGCTGCCATGGCCTGAGAATTTAAGGTTTCTTATTTTTGGGAATGACCAAGGGTATGAGTGCTAGTGTCAGGATCGGCTTTTTTGTCTTCTGGTTCTTCATGAAAACTAAGCCTTGCTTAAAACGATCTTCCAAGCAGGACCTCAAAAGTAGTGGCACCCTAATCATTAAATCTTACAAGTTGACTTTGCAGTCACAGGTGTGACCAGAAGGGACAGGGTGGTGCTCTTTCTCCGGACACAGCTGCTAACAGTGAGTGTTTGAGAAGGCTCGCCCGCGTTCTCATCTTAGAGGAGTAATTGAGTGATGGGTCTGCGGTCCTTGTGTCCTCCTGGATCCTTGTTCTCTGTCTGTGTCTCAGGTTACTACTCATTTACGAAAACACGACCAGATCCCTGGCCTGGGAATCGGTTTTATTCTCGACCCTAGTTTGGCTCACAGTCTATCAGATGAATCTTTAACGACTCAGAGCTTCCGTGTTCCCACCTGTGGATTGAAGATAGCTGTTTTCTGCTCAAACCTTTCTCACAGGGACAGTGTGGAAATAGATGACTAAGCGTTTGAGAGCACTTAGTGTTCTTGAGAGACATAAAACTAGGGCAGTAGTACATCACCCTTGTCAGATGGGTTGGTCAAATGTACATCTCCAAAGGTTGTCCTCAGATGTCCAAGAAAGGACTTTTCTCCCAGGTTTGTTTGTTTATTTATTTATTTATAAAACCCAGTTTTCCACTTATATTCCTGCTACTTTATGACGAGGCCTTCACATTTATTTCAGTTATGGGAGAGCAATCTCGCCAAAGAAGTTATTTTTTTCTGGTAAAGAAAGAGGTGGGGAGAGGAATGACATGCTCCTATTGATGTTATATCATCTCCATTTCGCCCTCTGCTCTAAGTAATGAAGATCATATAGAAATTTCTGAAACTTGCAGGGAAAACAGATTTAAATAAATTACTTTTAGAAGAGGGGTACTATTTAGACTTGTTGTTTTTCAGAGTTTTCTGTATTAACAGTGCAAAATGCAAAAGCCTTCCTCTGGTTTACAAAGAGACACCGCTTAATACATTAAAAAGGTTATATTGTTTCTGGTGTGATGGGCACTGTTTTTAGCTAGCATGGATGCCCATGAGTCAAGGCATGCTCTTTTTCTATTAGCTAATACAAAATAAACCCAGCTCATCCTCTACTTGATCTTATCCTTTTCTTTTCAAATCCTTCCTTAAGACAAAATTTACATGGGAGAGAAGTATGTCAACGTTTCATCCCTTGAAGTTCTTTTCCCCCGTTTTATTTTAAGGGAAAACAGAGGCTAGGTTGCCGCTGAGATGCGGTCAGTTACAGAGTGTACTTTCAGGTTATCTGCTCTGTTCTTCCCCAGATGCAATTTGCTTCTGCTCTATTTTATAGGTGAGCTTATGCAGTGAGGAGAGTTCACTGCAGCCATACTTTTGAGTCAGGACTGTGTATGTCTAGACTCCAGGATTATGCCCATATTGTAACCCCATAGACATGGTTATAAAGAAATAATGTCACTCCTTTCGAAAGAGAAGAGTGTCATTTCCAGGGTTGTGCTTGGCCTAGGTGTCTCGAAACAGCGATTCGTGGCAGGATCATGGAGCCGTGGCTGGAAGAACAGAGGAAACAAAACAGGATCCTCCCTCTCAGAAGGAGGCCGAACTTCAGGCAGCAGAGCTCCACCAGCCACAGGCGGAAGCCAGGGAGCCCGAGGGGCACCAGGTGGAAGAGGAACAGAGAAAGGCCCTGGAGGAGGAGGCGATGGAGCAGGTGGGGCAGGCAGAACGTCTGGAGGAGGAACACGACCCATCCCCAGAGGAGCAGGACCGGGAGTGGAAGGAACAGCGGGAACAGAGAGAAGATGGCAGGGAAGGGCACGCGCACGCAGAGGTAGGAGCGCCTCACTGCAGGTGGGCTCCCATTAGGTTTCCCTGCCTGGGATGGGGGCGTGGCTTTGATTTTAAAGAAAAAAGCTTCCATATATGGCAGTCTCTAAAATAAAAATGTGACTTTACTCAGTGTTACATGCATATACTTAACTTATCCTTCGTAATGTTAAAGCAAAGCTACTTACACACCTAAGAAGACTCTTTGGAGAAAAGAGATAGAGCTGCTGGTCTGTGTCTGTGCTGTGTGTCCACAGTGCAGGAAACGTGTGCTCATGTCCCTTTTACAGAGCCTCAGAGATGAGCACCTGCCTGGGCACCTTCCCAGTATGTGCTCAAGTCCTGTGCTCATCTTGATTTGCTATGATCAAAGGTCTCTTCTCCCTGCTCATGTACTCCCAGGTGTATGCTGGCTTTAGCCCATTCACCTTCAGTGGTTCTCAACCTTCTGGCCCTTTAAATACAGTTCCTCATGTTGTGACCCAACCATAAAATTATTTTCGTTGCTACTTCATAACTGTCATGTTGCTACTGTTATGAATCGTAATGTACATATCTGATATGCAGGATGGTCTTAGGCGACCTCTTTGCAAGGGTCGTTCGACCGCCAAAGGGGTCGCGACCCACAGGTTGAGAACC